CTTTTATAAAACAGAACTAATTAAACAACATACCTGTAACAAGGAGAAATAATCAGTGGATCAACAGGCGACAGCTTCTCCCTCTCTGGCACACTAAACATATGATGCTAATTAGTTAGCGTCACAATGTACACCGTTTAAGTTAAATAACACCGTAAAATATACATTTACATTATAACTAGCACAATCGAGTGCTAGTATAAAGTAATTACATTCATCCAGCGATAAATATGCATTTTAGACAAAAAACATCGCCATACCAGAGTCATTCACGGGGAGAACAGAGTAGTACATGTGCTCATTAGCCTCGCACACAGGTAGACTGAGGCTATCACATTTCGCATGCGGGGAAACCACGGATGTGTTCCACTGATATCATTCCCTCCCCAGACAAAATCCCAAAGAAAAGTTACGTGACTTTAACGTTATATTTTTTTACTTGCGAACAATAGTAGAGGAACAAAATTTCGTGGAGTTCATTAACCCATTCTTATTATGAAACACATAGAATTTATAACGGTATAAACAGCATATAAAAAAATAATAATAATACAATATAGGAAAGAAAAGAAAGCAAATTAAATTAAGTCAATAAATTCACACCAGTTACATTCTCCCCCTTGAACTTCACAAATTTTGACTATTACAGGGATAGTATACACTGGGGTCATTAGACCAACTTTTATCCAAAACATTGTGCAACAAAATATGTTTCCCACTCACAGGGAAGGCGAGTACGGCAGGTTGATCAGGCCTACTGCAGTCACCCGCAAAAGGTGCCTTAAACACCATTCATCTCGGATGAAACTTCATCTCTAATCTGGAACAACATACTGAAATACATTGACTCACATGTGCTGTAATCTAGAACGCAAAATGACAAAAACAATGCTGTAATACTTATCTCAGTAAAGATCTTACAACCCCACCAACTGGGTTCAGAATTTTGATAGATTGAGTCACGTTCTCTATCAATCTGTTGACTGGTTTCACAATCCTGCCCACTCTGGTCCGAACTCTCATTTCCCCTGGATCAGGAGGCAGCTCAACAGCTTCAACAGGTGAAACACAATGGTCACTATGGCAAACTGCCTCAGAAACAGAACTGCAAGAATCAGGACTCTGTCCTTCATCTGGACTGCTTACATTGCTTTTCTCCTTGGTACAATCATTCTTTGAAGCAAGTTGTTCCTGTCCCGATGACTCGGGGACTACATTCAATGATTCAACACTTTCGGATCTGCAGGACAACCTCTGCTGAGGGTCGTCAGAAGCTGCGATCTCTTCATGATTAGTGTTGCTTTCGTCAACGAAAATTATGACTAAATATCGTTGTCAACGAACCTTTATCACGTGACGAAAACGAGCAACGTAAATGCTGGTCATGTGACGATGACTATAATTAAATGTATAATGCAATATCGTTGACGAATAAAAACGAGACTAAATGTGGTTTACAAAATAAAAACTATGCTAAAATGTCTCTTCATTTTCGTTGACCAAAACGAGACGAAACGAAATGTTATAACGTTATTTCGTCTCGTTTAGTCGCGTTATTATTATTATTTTGCAGTGTTTCTGTTTCCTGTGTATCGCTTCAGGAGCTGCATCAGGTCACACTGCGCAGACACAGGCGACGTCACTTCCTCAAGCCCCACTCGCTGCATTATTTAGAACAGTGTTTCCCAACCGGGGAGCCGCTGTCTGTCGAGAGCAGGGGTGCCGTGTAAAAAAATCATTTTTTAATATTTTTAAATTGCTAAAATGTTAAAAAAAGCAGCTATTATATAATATCCATTTCTAATGTCGCCAATAATTAGAGATGCACCGAAATTCCGGCTGCCGAAAATGAGTTCACCGCTCAGGATTCACTTTCACGTGGTGTGACGCTCTGCGTATTATCCCGCTCTATGCGTGTGCGCTCCACTCAGTCGCTCACGGCCCATGTGAGTGCTCCACTCATATACCGTTCATGCTCATCGGAACAGCAAAGTCCACTCAGAAATCAAGCTGACAGGAAACATCGATGTAGTACAGTATTGTAGTTGACTAAAACTTGACTAGACTAAAAAGAGTATGAACGTGACTAAAACTAATAAAAACTAAAATGACAGTTTCACACAAAGACTAGACTAAAACTAAAATTAAAACAGGCCACCAAAAACAACACTAGTCAGAAGCTGTGGTCTTTTCCACCCAACTGGCGACTCGCTAAGACAAAGCGAAAACACAAATCAGATACAGGACCAACAACATCATCCATTGACACACTTCTACTACTAAGGACAGATTAACCACTATCCTCAGATGATTCAGGTTCCTCCAACTCAAGTGGAAGGAAATTTGCTTGCAACAGCAAATTGCGGTTAACGGTTTTATCCTGACCTGTTTTGGTGTTATGTATGCGGTAAATGTGACATTGTGGGTTTAGCGCAACTACCCTATAGGGTGTGGACTCCCACCTGTCTGCCAGTTTCCTTGTTCCACGTTCACCTTTGTTGGCCAGCAGAACTTGATCACCCAACTCAATGTTACGACCTTTCGTCTTTTGGTTGTACAACTCGGTCTGACGTTGCTGACTAGCATCAATGTTCTTCTGAGCAACTGTAAGTGCCTCTTTTAGGTCATCTTTTAACCTCTTCACATACTTGTCGTAATCAACAACGTCACAGTCTCTCTCAACGTTGCCAAACATCACATCCACGGGCAACTTCGGGATCCTACCAAACATTAAGTAGAATGGAGCATAACCCGTGGATTCGTGCGCGGTACAGTTATACGCAAAGGTCAGTGTCTGAAGCAACTGGGACCACTTTTCCTTAGACCTCAGCGGGAGTGCTCTGATCATGCTGCTCAAGGTTCTATTAGACCTTTCAACAAGGCCATTTCCCATTGGATGGTAAGCAGTTGTTCGGGACTTTTTCACAACGGCAACCTGCAGCAACTCTCGGATCAGTTGGCTCTCAAAGTTGGCCCCCTGATCCGAGTGGATCCTGTCAGGAAAACCGTACACACAAAAATAGCGATCCCACAACTGTCGTGCTACCTGTTTTGCCGACTGGTCACGACATGGGAAAGCATGAGCCATCCGAGAAAAATGGTCAGTTACGACCAGCACGTCCACATTACGACCTTTTGAACTTTCTGCGGTCCAAAAATCGATGCATACTAACTCCATTGGACTTGACGTTTTCACACTCTCTAGTGGAGCTCTGCCTTCGGGTTCAGGCGTTTTACTGACAACGCAGCGCTTGCAACACTTAACATATTTGCGAACGTCACATTCCAACCCGACCCAAAAGAACCTTTGTCTTGCCAGGTGCATTGTTCTACCGTGCCCTGCTTCGTCGTGAACGCCTGTCATGACCTGCGTGATTAAAGAAGAGGGAACCACATACTGCAACCGTTTCTTTCCTGTCAGATTATCTTTGGTTACACGATACAGTAAACCATCAAGTATCTTTAACTTGTCCCACTGCTTCAAGATCCTGAGCACCTTATACTTCTACAGCTCATGTGTTCCATCTTGCCACCGTATCTTTTCAGGTGAGCGTCTGCTAGCTCGGCTGCCTCATTCAACCTGACCCAAAAATCAACAGGGTGCTCACTTTTCTTTGGCTGCGTCGCAAAAAGTCGGCCAACGGCTGGCACGAGCCAGGGCTCTCGCTAAAATAGCGCCGCAGTACCTCAGACAATTTCAGGACAGAGTGCAACAACCGGGCTACTTTTCAGCTTAACCTTGACAATGCTCTTTGCCCGGCCACAGAGATGGTTCAATATCTCTTCCACACTGTCGGCTTTGCTACAACCTTTTTTAGACAAATACACCTCCATCTGTTCTGACACTGCTTACGTTGGTGCCCAAACTCGAAACAAACAAGGCATCTTTTTTCTTTCATGCAGTGTGAGCGAGTCGAATGGGATCGGTCTCCGCACACTGCACACGGAGAAGCTCGATACCACGGTGACGTTTGAGGCTTTGTTTCTGAAACTGGTAAGGTTGTGCGCTCCAACACCCTTTCTAACATTTTCAGCACCCGCTCTAAAGTGCCCGACTCATTGACTTCATTTGCTTTAGTGTGAACACCCGTGATACACACTGGTGAGGTTGCACCCACACTTTCGCTTCCTATGGCTACATGAGTTCCAACTGCTTTCTCGGTAACAACAGCCTGATTTACTACAACCTTAGGCACAGGTGGGACTGGTTTCCAGGACTTACAGTCCCTCTCATACTCATCGATGGCCTCTTGGACTTCCTCAGCTGACCATTTGCTTATGGGCTTACACCTAAAGACACTGGAAAGGTCAGAATTAGGGCAGTTTCTTATAAACATCATTGCAATCTCTGAGCTCATGTGTTCCATCTTGCCACCGTATCTTTTCAGGTGAGCGTCTGCTAGCTCGGCTGCCTCATTCAACCTGACCCAAAAATCAACAGGGCGCTCATTTTTCTTCGGCTGCGTCGCATAAAAGTCGGCCAACGGCTGGCACGAGCCAGGGCTCTCGCTAAAATAGCGCCGCAGTACCTCATAGACAATTTCAGGACAGAGTACAACAACCGGGCTACTTTTCAGCTTAACCTTGACAATGCTCTTTGCCCGGCCACAGAGATGGTTCAATATCTCTTCCACACTGTCGGCTTTGCTGCAACCTTTTTTAGACAAATACACCTCCATCTGTTCAATCCACTCCAAGATGGAACATTTGTCGCTACCGTCCCCCCTGAACATCTGTGGTTCTCTAATGTCAGCCTTGACTATCAGATTTAACTTGGACAGATCGAGGCTTGTAGACAGGGGTATGGCCCCAGAAGGCTGCTGCTCAAACGATGGAGAAGAATCAGGTAATGCAGAATTCTGATTGGTTAACAACCGTGAAACAATTGAATCACCGATCTGGTTTCCAAGCTCACCAATGAGATCGCGTAGTTGCTGCGTAACATTGTCACAACCAACATTAGCAGGAGTGGAAGACTTTGGTTTATTCGACTCATTATGCGACATGGTCGGAACGGTCACAGAATCATACACCAAAACGCGTGGTTTGCCGACTACAGGCTCAGGTACCCCAAAAAACCCACGGCCCCTGCCAATGTGTGGTGTCACCAAGTCTTCGTTCCACCCCCCTTTGGCCATATCACGAACAGTAGATTGTTAATGAAAAACACAAGAAAAATTTACTTCACTGTTATCGTATACTTCTAAATGCAGAAATGAAAATAAATAAATAAATAAAAGGAACAGTCCAATATGTGCTAAGTGTAAAGTCCAATGTGTGCGTAATGTAAAGTGAGAGTTTAGTTACATGTCCAGACACCGCCACCAAAACGTCAACAATGAAGTCTTTGTCCAATGATTTCAGAAGCGTTGTGATTCTGCGTTGTCGAACCCCAGCGATTGGCTGCTGCAGATCTGGTGCATCCGGGTCACGGCACCAATTTTATGTAGCATGTTTGGACCGGTCACCCTCACACACATAAAGACCACACGACCACGACCAGATTCAGCACTTTCTTTTACTCAATCTGTAACAAGGAGAAATAATCAGTGGATCAACAGGCGACAGCTTCTCCCTCTCTGGCACACAGAGTCATTCACGGGGAGAACATAGTACATGTGCTCATTAGCCTCGCACACAGGTAGACTGACATTATACAATAATGGAAAAGAATGAAATAAATGTAAATAAATTATACTGTTTACAATATGTCTCTTGTCTTTCTTATACATCACATTAATATTTCTATTAATACATTACAATAAATATTTTACAATATTACATTAGATATAAAATCTATTACATTATTAACTTATGCATTAATTCAAGTAATTATACATTAAAACATACTATAG